AGTTCAACAATATACTTTGGTCCTAAACCATGTAATGATTTTAAAATCAATTCTTTGGCCGACTGGAAGCCAGTGTAAAGATTTCAGAACCGGACTGATGTGATCCACTCTTTTTAGTGTTAGTGAGGACACGTGCAGCGGCGTTCTGAATCAGCTGCAGCTTTCTGATGGATTTTGTTGTCAGCCCTGTGAATACACTATTGCAGCAGTCAAGTCTACTGAAAATAAAAGCATGGACAAGCTTTTCTAAGTCCTGTTGTGACATTAGTTTTGTAATCATCGATAGGTTCTTCAGGCTGTGCTCAGCGTTGAATCAAAACGCACCATAGCTTTAAATCTTAATAAGTTTGTGAGGCGTTTTGCTGAACAAGATGGTAATCGCCACATTCAGCTGTTATAGACATGCCAACTTAATGCTCTGCTCACGGATGAGTCGATGAGAATAATAAACTGTTTAAGAAGATGACCTTACATGTGTAAATATATGTTTTTCTTTGTGAGGGTCTGCCCCCAAAAAAATAGTTTAAAGTCCTGAGAAAGTCAAATAAGACGGTGTGTAAAACTTCACTGCCCAGCCAAAAAAAAGTAACCACTTTGATTTAACTAGGCCAGTAGGTAAGGACATTCCACTGGATAATAAATGCAGCGATGTATGTTTTAGCTGAATACACGTTTTTTTAACCCTAACTAATGCAGTTAGTCATTTCTTTAATGTTTGTTCTTTCTGATGTAAAGTCAAGGTTGTAACTGTTTGCAATGAAGTTGTGGGGCGCTGAACTGTTCCTTTGATTCTTTTGAATTATGATATAATTTCTTGTCTTTCAAATTTGAAGGGGGGTGAGCAAGCATCTTGAGGAACATTCATCATTAACTCCTCCAAAAAATATAGTTTATTCAATAATAAATGAATATGTGAATCATAACAGTGATTGACAGCTGATAGGAATAATATGATTGTTAATATTATCATATTCATTCAGACAAACATCTATGAGACAGTTAATTAATGTACTTATTGCAGCAGTCTGCATAGATTTGGTACCCCTGCTGAGTGAAACAAACTAATTCAGTTAAAATGCATTCAATTATGTCTGCCATCTTATATATTTCTATTTAAGGCTTTACTGATGTGCCACAATAATGTCACCTGATGTTATTGAGTTCAAATATCAATATTTCGGCTTTCCAAGTTAACATTGATTGATATGACTGCGATTAAATCAGCATATACTTCTGCCAGGAGATGCTACCCCTCAAACATCTCCTGCCACCCCATGAATATTTTTCTAGATCCACCAGTAGGCTATATTTTTCGTTTCGTGTATTTAATAAGTTAATTTCAGGACAACTTTGGGAATTTTGTTTGTTTGTTTTGAGATTTAAATAGATTTTTAAAGTGGAGATAGAGAGAGAGAAGCAGCGATGTCTGCTTAGTTGCAATACTGCAGCTCAAGCCTTTATGCAACTTATGTTACTTATATGCCTGTGTGTCCATGGTTTTGAGTCTGTGTGTGTTGAGCGCAGCGCCGTCTGCTTTTTGCAGTACAGTAACTAAAGTAGGACTAAGCATACCGGTAGTTTTTTGTAGACCTGTCTGCCCGTGCACGTGCGCACTTGTGGCATTGTTTGGGATGACCTAATTAAAATACCATCCACCGCCCTCTTTGAGAAACATACACAACGCAGACAGACACCGGTCACAAAAGCATCAGATAGACTTCAATTTACTTTTGATTGTCTATAATTAACTATAAGAAAATATTGGCGTTTTCACACTACGTTTATATATGTACTTATTTTTACGGATTGCATATGAGGTGGTCCGCGAAAATCCTTGATAATAAATAGTGGTCCGCATAAACAAAAAGTTTGAGAACCCCTGATCTAGGGGTTGTATATGTATATTTCAAAAATATAAGTAAATAATGTGAAGACTATCCAAGCCCTGTCCGAAAATTGTACAATAAGTCGATCAATTTATCGAAGACCTGTCTAAAAATCGTACTATTTGATGGTAACTTAAAAATTATCAAGGTTATGTCTTCTCGGGTATGGTGTGTTTATAGAGACATGTTTTGTAAATAATTGTTATACATTAAGGTGTGCATACAAATATTGTATGACAAGCCGATAATACAAAAACTATCTAGGTCATGTCCTTATATGGTACGATAAGAAAATAGCATACAATTGTTCGAGGTCATGTCCATATCGATACAGCAAGTCAGTTATGTAGTTACCATGACAGCCGATGTGTGTGCCTGTATGTGTATCCTACCTGGATGACCTGCTGCAGGGAGCGCAGCCAGGAGACACAGTGTTGCTGGAACAGATCACTGGAGCTGTCTTTGACCAGCATGGAGAGCAGGCACAGCCCCTCAAACCTACACACACAGGGGGAAAACATATGTCTCCATAATGACACTTAAACTTCCATCTTGTTAATTTGCAGTTTAGAATTACAGTGTTTCCCCTATATACAAATAGTGGCGGCGCAGCGCCGCTGCTGAAATATGAGCGCCGCTGCTAGGGGGTGCCAGCCAGGTACCCAACCTTAAAAAAAAAAAAATGTATTAATTTTTTTAAATAATAATAAGTGGCGACCCTTTTTCATTTTTGATTGTTTGTTATGTGGATTTGTAGTATTTGTGTTACTGGCATAGGCGACACAGGCGGTCGCTTACGGCGCCAGATCTGGCGGTCGCTTACGGCGCCAGATCTGGGGGTCGCTGCGCTGGTAGCTCTGGGAGGGAAAACACATTTTTGACTGTTGGCGCTCATCCAAATGTTCGGCCTTGATGTAACAACATTCATAATTAAGTAAATGTAACACCCTTTTCACCCCGGTTACACGTTTAATTTGCCCTGTACGGTGGGTGCTGTAAGTGATGAAAGTGGGGGATGTTGGCTTATCAGGCGCCCGCAGCTCACAGCCAAAGTGCGAGCGTGGTAGCGAGAGAGCGAGCAAGGGAGAGGGCGCACCGGTACCGGCGCTGTTGTTATTAGAATCTGGTGCTAGCTGCGCTAACGGATATAAGAAGTAGATGTTTCTACAACCAGGGTGGAGGAGAGCTCTCCTGTCAGACTGAGAGGCTCAGTGAGGTTAAGGACTCTCTGAGTATTTAGATAGTTAATTTTAGTCTAAGTTATCTCAGTGGGTACTCAAACGTTTTGACCACAAATTATGTAAACACATATTTCCAAGGCACTCCTTTATAATTATTAGGATAAATAAAAACAGGTTTGAAATCATTCCAATGTATACTATAGGACAGTCAACCAAAAATATTGTTTAAAGTTGGAGAGATACAAAAATATGCATAAATAAATGTTAGCGAGATAAAATAAGATATGAATGAACAACAAAAATAAAATAAGCTACATTTATTTGTTATTGGCTATGGTAGGTTATTGGTTATGTTCACATACTTATTTGATTATTAAAATGTAAACTGATATTTTTCATATGGGCGTTTTAGAGTTGTGCCCCCTATATCAGGTCTCTAGTAATTGTGTGCTCAAAGTGCACCAGATTGAAGCATTTTACAGTAAAATGTTCAAAAAAAAATCTTCCCGGGGGGACATACCCCCGGACCCCCCTAGAGGATGTGACGTCCAACCCCAATTCAAACATGTTCATACAATACTGAATACATTTGAAGCCATTTTGACGTCTATTACCTATGTCAATAAGTATCTGTTTTTGCAGTGTATTTATCTTTTGTAGAGATTTTTCATTTATTCCTTACACATAAAATGTCGCCTAAAATCTCACCTAGGGCAGCAAATTGTCTAGAACCGGCCCTGGTACTAGGCCTCAAGAGCCTTTCTTGTGCTGACACATAGAAACAAATTGGCGGGGCGCACTTCGCACGCACTAAAATATTCTATGCGCTCCACGCTCACATTATGCTGGGCCCCCGTGCCTTAGCACCGCTGCTATGACTCCATCCTAGGGGAAACACTGAATTACATTTCAAAATAAAGCAAAACGTTCATTATAATAAGTTAGTATCTCCAGAAAAAGGGGGAAACTATATCAAAATATTTCATTAGTATCTCAAAACAATGAGACATTATATAATGAAAGTATGATCTAGTATTATTATTATTATTATTATTATGATGATGATTACGTCCATACCATTAATATAATACCAAAATAGACAAATTATGCAATGACATTAACACATTATCTTTGGTGTCACATGTTTAGTGAAGGCTGAAATATTATGACAGCTGAAATATTATGACAAATGACAAGAAACAGGACTTTTATATATTTATTTTGACCATAATATAATTTAACTTTGTTGTAAGTAATTTGCTTTGCATTGAGGTTAAGTAAATAAGTACATTTATTAAATACCTTTAGTTACTTTACAGATCTGGATGAATGATGTGAAATATAATCAAGTCTTAAATCAGACGTTAGTTCCACCTGGAGTAAATTCACAAGCTACCCTGCAGTATACAAAGTCATTCAAACTAGCTGCACCTTTACCAGCTTTGATAATACTTTAATTATAAAACATATTTATATATATATTATTCTGAAATGGACCAATCTGCACAATGACTACTTTTACTTTTGGTACTTTAACGATATTTTGATGCCATTCCTTGATTGCACGACTTTTCACAGAGTATTCCTACACTCTGGTACTTTAATTCAAGTACAATATCTGAGTATTTTTTCCACCTCTGCCTAAATACACACAAATAAATGATGCAATGACATTAACACCATATCTTTGATGTCACCTGTTTAGTGAAGGCCGAAATATTATGACAACTGACAAGAAACAGGACTTCTTTATCTTTAATTTGACCATAATTTAATTTAACTTTGTTGTAAGTAATGTGCTTTAAAAAAAACAAAAAACTTTATAAATCAAATTGACTTGAATTGACTTGTTCTCACCTGGTTTTGCTCGAGCCCAGTTTGGCATTGCTGAAACCCACGAGACCACCAACAGCGCTCGCGCCCTGAAAGGGAAACACAGGAGTTTAAATACACGCGCCACTACTATTATTGATGAAAGTTGATTAGTTATCAGCCACAGCTCTTCTGCAGGTACACATGTCAGGGAACAACACAGCGTGCAGCAGAGTAGCACAGCAGCTAACTAGCCTCCAAGCTAACGTGCTTCCCCGGGGCGGGCTGTACCTGGGTCTGAAACACGCCATGCTCTCTGTAGTTTGCCAACAAAGTGGGTAAATATTCGGGACGCTGTTCCTTCAGAACCGATACCAAACCCTCCGTTAGTCGCATAGCAGAGGGGCCACGCATCCAAGCCGATGTAGCCATCTTGCCTCTGTGATAAACGGACGTCACAACTGTGCGACTGAGTGGCGTCGCATTCTTTGTTGATGTGCCCCTCAGCCGCTTTGTGCTCAGGTTTCAGCCAGTCGAGCAATTTTAGATTGACTCCTGTCCACAGGGTGAAGTTTGACTGTGTGGGAGTAGAAGGTGTTCTCTGAGAGCTGCTGGTTGTTTGCCGTCTGCTCATGGCGAACGAGCGGCTCAGAGCTCTGGAGGAGGTGGAGAAGGAGATAGCGACGACCCTGCAGTGTGCTGGTGAGGAAGCGTTTCACTAACTTCAACAGAAAGAATGCATCATGTATAGTTGGGGAGGTGGAAGAAGTACTCAGATCTTGTACCTAACTCTAAGTAGAAGTACCAGAGTGTAGGAATACTCTGGAACAAGTAAAAGTCCTGCATTCAAAATGTGACTCATGTAAAAGTACAAAAGTATTAGCATCAAAGTATATTTAAAGTACCAAAAGTAAAAGTAGTCATTGTGCAGATTGGTCTATTTCAGAATAATATATATATGATATGTTTTATAATGATTTATCATTAAAGTGTTCTCAAAGCTGGTAAAGGTGCAGCTAGTTTGAATGACTTTGTATACTGCAGGGTAGCTTGTGAATTTAGTCCAGGTGGAACTAAAGTCTGATTTAACACTTGATTATATTTCACATCATTCATCCAGATCTGTAAAGTAACTAATGGTATTAAATACATGTAGTGGAGTAAAAGTACCCCATTAAACTCTGAATTGGAGTGGAGTAGAAGTAGTACAAAATTCAAATACTCAAGTAAAGTATAAGTCTCAAAATGTTACTTAAGTACAGTACTTGAGAAGATGTACTTAGTTACTTTACACCACTGTCAAGCAGGGACCAGTCTTGGGAAACAATCACATTCATAGTAGTTTTCCTACGTAGTGAGAGTGTTGAGGCCACAAGCCTTCATCTTCATCAGCCGGTCCCTCCAGTAGGCCCTGGGCACCCGGAAATAGTGGATGGATCCCCCGATGATGCGGCAGGGCTCTCCCTCCAGGGTGAGCTGGGACAAGTTGGCGCTCAGACCCAGCTTCCTGCTCATGATCCGCCCCCCTGCTGGCAGCCTGAGAGAAGAGTTCCTGTGTGTCTCACTCACATAGTGTAGAACATAGGCTATTGTGCTTTGAAAGACCACATGATATGCTAGATAGGAAATGTTTGTGAAACGCAAAACAGCAAGAATATATTTGTATTGAGGAAGCAAGAGTGACTCAAACAGATGAGTTTAGTACTTCTTATTAACCTTTTAAACTATAATATACACTTTTTCTCTTGATATGTTGGCATCACACCACTTATGCAGTAGTTAAAGTTGCTTTTATTCTATCTCCCTGTTATATAATAATAATATTAATCCTAGAGGGATTTACTGTGTCTGCGATAGTTTTGGTAGGCTATCAAATCACATTTTTTGTTCAAGCATATCCATATGTCCAGGCCTGTAGCATTGATTTATTAATTTAGTGGATCATTTATTCACTGTGGGCACTGCATCAGGCCTACCAGCCTCAAAGTATCTCTAACTGAAACAATACTATTGAAAAATGTACTCACATGAGATGTCTGTAAATGATGAAGCCAACAATGCCCATGCAGATGAGTGCATATTTCCTCTTGTGCCAATTTCTTATCCTCAAAAATGCCATCCAAAGAAAGTGAGATGTTTTATTTGACAGAGGCAGCAGTCAGGTTAAGTCCACAGCAGCATCTGAGCATAGATGCTGCTGGTATCAACAAGCGCCGCCTCGTGGGAGGGCCACTGTGCAGAGCTATGGAAATCAAACACACCCTTAACACAACAGGCTTTGCATACGTTTGTATTGCTTCTCTGTAAAATGTATAGACGAGGATGACAAATGTAGTGCATCAAAAATTATTATTATAACAGTCGTTTAATAAAAAAATAAACTTAAACTAGGTTTATCTAATGTTTAAAAATAGGGTACAACATCCAAATCAGAACAACTTTATTCGTCCCACAGAGGGGAAATTGTTACAACTAAAGTAAAGAGCCAAAGATAGCTTGATATTAATTAGAAGCATACATAAAATATTAAAATCAACATGGATATTACACAAACAACAATAGACAAAATACACATCCAGTACCAGTGAAAGTATTTAAAAAAATAAGTGTAGCATGTATTAAATAAAACCGTGTGATAGCAGTGCTGTTGCACAGTTATTTATAGATGCATCACAAGTTGAATTGTCTAACTACAAGATAGCAGCCAGTAATAATAATTACGAAGCGGTAAATATTTATATAAAGCACATCGTTATATTGCACATACTAATATTGTACAACAGGGGTGTTACAGTTTTTACTTTAATACTTAACATGTAACATTAAGCTGTCTGTGGCTCTTTTTCTGCTGTAACTACGTACATTTCCCTTCTGTGGGACTAATGTGCACTCCATCACTGAGGCAGATGCGATGCGCATCTCGATAGGTTGCCAACTGATACATTAACGATACATTTGAAGCACTGGGCAATACAGTTCGATACGATTTGAGTCAACACAGGCCCGGTTCCAGAAAAAAATGACTTTGGGTGCATCTGAGATTACAGAGGATGCAGCAGTAGTAGGTTTACGTGAGCAATAGCGGTTCCTTAACACAATGCACATAGTCTGGAGCTCTCACTGGGGTCCTGCATATAATTTAATCAGGCTTGTCCATTTGGCTATCAGATTGTTAACGAAATGGACAGATCCACAGTTTTCCCCCTAAAAATGATTTTTAATCATTATCTTTGCATTTAAATGATTGATGTTATCATTAATATGGTTCCTTAACACAATGCACATAGTCTGGAGCTCACTGGGGAAAATTAGGTCTGTCACTTTGGGTAACCGCACCACTCTCGGAAGTCTCCCGAGAGTGGACGTCCATTGACTCTAAATAGGGTTAGGGAAACTGACTATTTTTGGACACAAATAACGTGGGATGCTTCGTGCCATTGAACAAACTACCGCACAATGGAATTGGGATGTCAGCCTAAAGGAAAAGTGTGTGGAGATAGTGGGATTAACCTTCCTATTTTTGAACCCAAATAACGCTTCGTGCCATTGGACAAACTACCGCACAATGGCTGACTTTTTTAAGGCAGGAAAGGTGTTTGAAACGTGGGGAAAAGTGGTGTGAATAGAAACAGAGCGCAACCAGAGAGCAGGAGGCAGCACATGGCTTTTCTACCCAGGAATAATTACTCTGAGACCCACAGAGACCCACAGAGTCCCAGACACCCATAGACCCAGGGCACATCACCCCCCCCTCTATTACGCAGGGAACAGGGCTCTGATGGGTGCTAAAGTATTGTTAGAAGCAGTGCCAGTTAGAACATGGCTTTTCTACCCAGGAATAAGTGTGAATCCTGGGTACCTTAAGTGGACCAAAAGCCCTACGTTAGGGTTAGGATTAGGGTTAGGGTAAAAACCTCTAAATACCTGTAACACTAGTTTAAGAAGAACAGAGGAACAAAAAAAATGACGTGGCCCTGCAAATCCCAAATGAATAAAAATACAAACACACAGCAGAAGAAAATGAAGCTCCCAGGAGCATGACAGTTCACTGAACAATATTCTCAGCCTGGGAGGTTATGAAACATTGATAACAGAGGCTGAACAACATGTCCGCCCACTGTGCGACGAGCATCACTGAGCTTGTATGCAGAGATGAGGAAACATATCAGCCTTCCCTCCCCTGCATCGCCCTCTATAATTTAATGCTCCACTCCCACATCTCCCTTTGTCCCCACACACACAAAAACCTCTTAAGGCACATTCACACTAGCATAGCACTAGGATGTGTTTCCACAGAGTGCATGGTAGAATGCAACCAGCAAACAATGCAATACAGCAGTGCAACCCTTTGAAGGTTTACCAAACACCAGATACCGCACAGTGGTTATTCTTTTTATCATAGAAGCCTGTCATTTTCTCTTGAACCGTAAATTACCACAATGCTATGTTACATGCTACAATATTTTCTTGTATCAGGGCTAAGTTCCTATATCGCCATATGTTTTTGGGAGGTTGTCCTCTAATCAGAAGGTCAGAGGTCCCTGCAGTCTACATGTCCAAGTATCCTTTGGAAGGAACTGATTCATAAGGTTAATCCCAATTGATTCTCACGCCTGCTCCTTTCCCTCACTCGCGTCCCTTAGTTTTCTCATTGAAATAATTTCGTCCATTTCTTCCATCCATCTCTTTTATTATAGTTTTCAATGTATTATTTTCGGTCCTCTATTGGTTTTTCCAGGTATAACATTTAATTTAAGTTATAATCATAATAATAATAATAATTGATGGATTCATCTCATTATGGTATTTGAGCTTGTTTCAGATCAACTTTTGTATTGGATGTTGTTATTTCATTTGTCCTACAGAAGAGAGACACAAATCGCTAAAAGATTAGTTAGGTATGGTACCCGTATTTCTATATATCCTAAATGTTTGACGTTCTGTGGGTTTATCCACACTTGCATCAAAAACCACAAGTTAGAACTGTAAGTTATTCTTTTATAAACAAAACATTATTATTTAATTTGTAAGTATATTTCACACACTTTAATGTTTTTATAGAGTATGATCTCCTCATTCGTTTAAGAGATTTATATGTTTTTACTCTATTGAAGCACTTTAAACATGCCTCTGATCCTACTTTAACAGTAAGAACTTTTGTTCTTTTTTTGTTGGACGATACATTTTCCCGGAAATATTGCGATAAACGATAATATTGTCGGCACCGTTGTAAGACCATTTTAGACCACTGACATAATGATAATATATAATAATAATTTGTGTATATCAAACAGAACTTTTTATTGAACATTCAACATTGCAAATGAAATGTGAAATAATATTCAAATATATAAATTATATATAATAAATAAACAAATAAATTAAATTACAAAAAATTAATTAAATCATACACAACCAAAATAATAAATTAAATAGAATCAGGCTGGAAAACTGAGCTCTCTCTCTCTCTCTCTCTCTCTCTCTCTCTCTCTCTCTCTCTCTATATATATATATAAATATGTATTTATTTATATATATTATATTTATATATATATATACAAATAAATATGAGCGTACACTGTCTCACAAGCAAAACAAACCTCAACACTGAAGCACTGTTACCCTTGACACATTTGAATGTTTTTTAAGTGTTCATTACTGTGCATTGTCCCTGCTAAATAAGGAGCAAAAGTCAGAATCAATATA